TTTCATGTTCAAATAATAGGTGACCTCTTTGCACTACAGTATATTGATCAACACTTATTGTTTTCTTGATAGATAAAGAAACGATAAAATCTCCATTCTTGGACACAGGATGTGTTATTTTTGTAGTTCACTACTCATTTTCTGCACTAGATGGCGGTATTTCTTCTTAAATGGCTTTGGTTCACTATCTCTAATGATCTCATTAGATGCTGCCCATCCCAAAGCTGTAATGTTTATTTGCGTTTTCAGCTAGTTGGACAATTAGTCTTAAGTGCTTATTATTAAAAGCAAACCCATTATCTTGATAATCTTGCAAGTGGTAGACAGAAAGAGGAGACCAGGGAGCTATTAATGAGAGTAATTGTTTAGAGATGCATCCATGGTAAGAGAGGTGGTGTCTCACCATTTTTGTTGCTGTCTCTTGACACACAGAATTCATATATCTGCCCATTATCTATAGGTCACAAATGAAGTGTCAGCACAGGAGGCGTAAAGGGACCAGAGATGGAGAGACGGATGGAATATGTGCTGGAAAAGCACAAATATATCCTTCTTCAGCAACCTCTGCATCAGTGTGTCAGGTCAGATTGACATATAAATCAAAGGTCTGCCAGGACTCATTACTTATGGTCTTTTTATATGCCAAAGCCATAAATCTCGCATGTTTTACATGCATCAAATTAAAGACTTAGTATGCATTTTTGAAACCGATGTTTTGGCTTATTTTAAAGGAGGGTTTATTCTTTTTCTTTGATCAGCAGACAAAGGCTCTCTGTGGTGCTCTTGTGTATGAATGCAAAGAGATTTTGCTCTATCTATCTATAATTTTAAGTGAAGTGACATGTGGCCAAGTATGGTGACCCATACTTGGAATTAGTGCTCTGCATTTAACCCATCCAAAGTGCACACACACAGCAGTGAACACACACACACACCTGGAGCAGTGGGCAGCCATTTTTGCTGCGGCGCTCCCGGGGAGCAGTTGGGGGTTCGGTGCCTTGCTCAAGGGCACCTCAGTCGTGGTATTGAAGGTGGGAGAGAGCGCTGTACATTCACTCCCCCCACCTACAATCCCTGCCGGTACGAGACTCGAACCCGCAACCTTTGGGTTACGAGTCCGACTCTCTAACCATTAGGCCACGACTTCCCCACTTTTGACTTTTTTAAAAGTTTGACAGACTTTTAAGCTGCTTATGTAGCCGAATCTGCGCTGGTATGAATGGGCCGCCTCCAGTTTCCCCTTTGTTTTGCTTAGGGCTGGGAATCGATTCCAAAAACAATCGATTTCTGAAGAATCGACTCCTCATTCAGAGCCTTTTTCAGTTCAACAAAGCTTATCCCCCTCTATCTATCTATCTATCTATCTATCTTGTCCTGTCCTGTCCTGTCCTGTTCTGTCCTGTCTGTCTGTCTGTCTGTCTGTTTGTCTGTCTGTCTTTTCTATATATCTCAAGCATATTTAACTGGTAATCTCAAAGCCTTAATGGAGCAAATCAGTTTCAAACTTCTTTAATGTGAAACAAAATTGATGTTTGGTACATTAGCAAATGTTGTTGAGATCCTCCATTAACAGAAGCCTCAATAAGGCTGCTCGCATCTTCGACAGCATGCACCACTTCAAACGCTATTTTACAACGTCATCCAGAGTGCCTGCGGCAGCCAACGCTAAACGTTCTGCTGTTGTCCCACTGCCAAACTCTGGGGAGGGATACGGATAGAGCAAGCCAGGAAGTCTGAGTGTTTAAGTATTCAACTCTAAATATTTAAATGAATAAAGAAATCTGTGTCATGTTGGAAATTTGAAATGAAATTTATAAATGTAAAACACACAAGGTTTGTCTTCTTTTTTATGTGTATGCTGAATGCTAAATTTGACAATAAACATAACAGAGTTTAATTATGTATAAAAAAAGCTCCAAAACATGATGCAATATGACTGGTGTATTAGTTCAGACCTGTCTAAATAAGCCAGATAGTTGATTTAAATATCTAATACTAATACCTCACCTTCATGCTTTGCTCTTTGGTGTGATTTGTCACTTGTATTCATTGCCTGAATGAATAGTTCATAAAAAAATGAAAATGCTATCATGATTTATTCAACCAGTAACACGTTAACTGTCAATGAGCAGATACAGTATTTAATCTTTGTTAACATTGGTTAATAAAATTACAACTTGTTCATTGTCAGCTCATGTTAGCTCAGGTCCATTAAGTAACATTAACAGATACAACTTTTTATTTTAATAGTTTATTAACTAAGATATAAACTAAGATTAATAAATGCTTAAGGAGTGTTTCCATAGTTAGTTAATGTTAACAAATAGAACCTGTTAAAGTTTACCATTCATCCTTGTTCCAAACTAATATTACTTTATTTTTTTCTGTGGAACTTAAAAGGAAATATTAATGCTGCTCTTGACCTTCACAATGAAAGTGAATAGTGACCTGTCATTGTCAAGTTAAGCCTCAAAAATGACAAATAAGACTTAATTAAATATGTACATATATGTGCATGACCTGGAATAGCACTTGGGTCTAAAGGCCCACTTTTATTTTAATTCTTGTCACATTTTGGTGCATGAGATCCACTGGTCATCATTCACTTTCATTGTTAGAAAAATATTCTTCAACATATTATCTTTAGTCTTCCATGGAACAAATAATACACAACATAAGGGTCAATTTTTTTTTGAAAACTATTACTGTAATAACTGTTAATAGTATGTGGAGAAGAAAAAAAAGAGAGTCTGATTCCTTTATTCTTTCTTATCTGTTTCCATACCAACTGGGTGGAGATTGGCTGCTTTAGAGGGGGTTAATGGAACTGAGAGCTGATGCCTCTGGGTAAAGACAGTTATGATAGTCATACAGAGCCCCTAAATCTGTGTGTGTGGATTTTTGCGTGGCTGTATAAAAAAAGAAAGACTTTGCAAAGCATTATGACTCACAGATGTATTTGTTGCCAAGATAAAACATACATCTCTTTTAAAATCATCCGTTTTAATGTCAATTCTACCCCCCTTCATGACCCAATTTTACAGAGAGCACAAAGACTATTGTCTTTTAAAAATCCTTAAGTGTGCTGTTAGAGCTGGAGGTACTGCTGGCAGTTTAACCATTGTGTTGCCATGACAACACCGCATCCATCAAAGCGGTGCACCAGTAAAATTCTTGTTTCCCCCATTACAACCACAGATCATCACGGAGCAGGTGTCTCTGTGGCACAGAGATATAACACAACTGTAAAACACGTCAGTGCCAATGATCAGGTCATGAGTGTAGTAGGAGAAAGGGAGGATTGAGAGGGTAATGTGTGCATGCTTGTGTGGGTGCGAAGACTCTGTGGGTGACTTTGCATGCCACCAGCAGAAGGTCACTCATGCTGGGCTTCCCAGCTGTAGCTTTATTATTATGAGCAAACATGAAGCAACTAAATCTATTATGCTCTGCTCTATTTGTTTTTATTGAAAGTAATTGAACTCATGCCATCCCATAAATGCTTTAGAATAAATAGCTGTGGCTGTAGAGTGGATGGATATATACAGTGGGTACGGATGGTAGAATATTGTTTTTCTTATAGTTTCCATGTGAAACACTGCTCAGATGTAACTTTCTAAAATCTTACATTTTCTGGAAGTATCCATAAACTACAAAAAATCCTTTTAGGTGTGTTTTTTCAACTACGGAGTATGTTAATCATAATAATTTGTGAGGAAAATATTCTGTTCTTCCCGTCTAACACCCACACAAAGAATTCATTTTCTTATTTTTCTCCCCTCTAGATCTTTTCTGCAGTTTACCTCTGCTGGTTTTATTCAAAATCCCTCCGGGTCTTTTTCTTTTGTGATGATTCAGACCTCGTATTCACCTCTCTACTGTTGCGTGTAAAACAAACATTTGTTGAGGAAAAATAACTTTCTTATGTTTATGCACATTTAGAGGTTAAACGTACAATAATACAAAAAAAGGGAAAAAGGCTTTTAAAATAATCTCCTAACAAAGCAGATTATTCATTATAAAGGTTTTTGGTGATTACAAGCTTTAGGATTGAAACCCCCAATGTGAAAGCAAAAGACAAGAGTGGGACAAACAAACTCAATGCATAAAACCCTGGAAGATCTAAAAGTCATTGTGAAGAGGCTAGTTATTTAAAGATGCTGTAAGTGTTATTTGTTTATTGACATGAAATGTTCCTAGTACCTGTTAGGCCCCTGTATCACTAAAACAGGTGTCCTGAGCAATCACACCAGTCTCTGTGACATCCTTAGGCTCTGTGAACAGCAAAAAAAGTTTTTTTTTTCTTTCCATCAAATGATATATATGCCATATTGTAAGTTGTTATTCTCTCAAATCTTAGCATCCAGCCTTGCTCTCCATGGAACATTTAGCTGAGAGATGAAACAATTGGTTTGAACTGGAACTGTTCAATTAATCAGTTGATTTGACTCACAAAATCGATCTGAATGATTCTCTCAACTCATGATTCGGTTCTAAGATTCTGACTCAACACTGAACAACAATCAGAGAATAATTACTTATTTTAGTTCTTCACAACACTAATGCATGGCTCAAGTGTTTGAAAGTAATAACCATTGTGACATTTTACACTTTTACACTTTGTAAACTACAATGATAAAAAATGGTGTTGAAAATATTTTCACTCAGCAAATACATTTCACGAATAATTACAAAGAAACAGCAAATAAATAACACATTGAAATAGAAACACTGAAATTAGTATTTTCTTGTAAAGCGTAGCCACTTTTCGGAATTTTTTTTTTACCGTGTACCTCATTAGTTATTTCGGTCTGTAGGCCTATTCGCGAAAAAATAATATTTCTCTATTATTCCACTTAATAATAATAATAATAGTAATAACTGTTTATTTAGACACGTTTCAAAAATTGTTATATGTTATTTTTAATTTATTATTATTGTCATCATTATTGCTAGGACTGCACTAAGGCAGCAGTGACGCCCAGTTTGTTGGCTGCTGGTTCATCAGTGCGGCGCGCGCGGGGTGTGTGAGCGCTTGGAGACGTAGCGCTGCGCGTGGGTCGCTACGAGGGGTGTGTGCGTCCGTGACACTACTCCACAACACCGATTAGGCATCATATATCAACCTACGGCGGGTCACGGAGCATCGCATCACTCACCCTGGAAACCAACGCTCTTAAACGGCATCCGCGCAATTCTACCATTCAATCCGTTTGAACAGCGCTCATTCGCGAATACACCCTGCTCCGGAGGTGGCTTTTAATACCGGACAATGACTCTGACCCATAGCCGGAGATAGGGATGGATCCAAGAGTGTGGAGGATGCTCGCCCTGCTCGGTGTGTTCGCAGTCTTGCTGGAGGTAAGATGCGCCTTTAGGGCTGTTCAATAATAGCGCGGAATAAATACACCTAAATGGCTTTATTACAATTGCTATCACCATGTGTGCTTTTAGCGTGTTCTTATTTGTGTTGCTTTAAGCCACTAACATTAATGCAGCATGATTTCAAAGTGCGCCTTTTGGCCAAATCTAGTTCAGCATCTTATATCTGTCATTGTGCAATAAAACACTCACATGCTGTTTAATGGATTCAAGCAAAGCCACCTCCCTCTAATAGAGGATCTGACATGCTGTAGGGAGGAAATGTCGCTTAAAAGATACACGTTAAACATGGAGATGGAGAATTATTAGATGTTTACATTCAGTTATTTAATAACCTTTATTTGTTTTCTGTTTCCATTATGAATGCACAGATTCAGAGCTTGCAAACCACAAGGATTCAAAAATACAACACATTGACCCATATTCTGCTGTAAGACTAATGAGTTTGATGAGCGTGCTAGAACAAAATTATTGACCCACACGCATAATGGTATTTCAGGGGACGTGGAGAAGAATTCAGTATTAGGATTGTTTGAAAAGAATGGCTGATTTCTTGGGTAATAGAGCTTATCTACACTCAGGAGTCTCCAAACTCAGTTCAGCACAGAAGACAAAGAAACATCCAGTTGTGTAAGATTCAGCATAAATGCTTTGAACAAGATTTTCATTGTGGTACTAAACCGTTCCTAAATGGCTTTTTTTGTTAGCATATCATAAAGAAATTTACAGAGAAAGGCATCAGCGTTATTCAACAGCTAGATAATTGTACCTTCATCTCAGTTCACTTCCACTACAGAGCTGGAGTATCTTCACATCTGTTTGGGGGGTGAAACAACAGCACTATGGGAAGGAATTAATGAGTAATATGCCTGCCGTGCTCCATTAGAGACTTTATGCTCCTCTTGATTATGAAAATTTTACAGCACCAACAAATCTTTTGAAGGGCTATGCTCTTGAGATGGTGTCATACACCGGATTGATTTTATATATCTGCATGCAATTCGCAATTAGACTCCTGCGATACAAAACAGCAGCACACCGGATGTGTGCTATAGGCTAGAAATCAAGGTTGTTGTGTGCCTTCTTGTGTTTGCAGCTGTCAGTAAGACACACCTGGTCATATGTTCACTCATCTGTGCTATACTCCATTACCACAAGCTGTTTCTTATATAGGTGTCATTTGAAATGGACAGCCGATTGTGAGTTTGCTGTTTAAATCAAGGATTTTTTTTTTGATGTATATTTTGCTATTTTAGGGACAGGAACATAATCAAGGGCAGCGTCAGTCTGGCCTCAGTTGCTGCTGTGGAATGAGAATGACAGATGCAATTATGGCCGTAACTGACCTGAGTGTGTTGATATGAGCGCAAATATCAGCGCGCATAACTGGAGCTTGTTATCTATAATGCAATTAGCCTTGCTGGTGATGCTAGATCCCCAGATCAGTTTATTGGTCATAAATGAATGAAGTAATCAATAGCATGTTTTCATCTACAGGCATGTTTGAAAAATGACTGTGCAGTGCAGGATAAAAACAAAGGGGTTTTAAAGGAATAGTTCATCTAAAAATGAGAAGTTGCTTAAATTTACTCCCCCTCATGCCATTCAATATGTAGATGAATTTGTTTCTTCATGGAAACAGATCTTGGGACATTTACCATTACATCAGTTGCTCACCAATGGATCCTCTGCAGTAAATGGGTGCTATCAGAATGGGAGTCCAAATGACTGATTAAAACAAAACAATAATCCACAAGTCCTCTATCCATAATATTGCTTTCTGCAGTCTTGTCTAAATCAGAAGAAATATGCACATATCACCCACCGTTTACAAGCGAAAACAGTTCTGAACAAATATGTGGGTGGATTTGATGTGAGAGGACAACAGGGGATGGACTTTTTCACTGGAGTAGGCATTATTATGGATTAGCGAGTCTTATTTTGGCCAGAAGTGATTATTTAAAGTTAAAATACTTTAATGATGGATTTGTTTCTTACAAACATGCAGCTGTGTGCTTCACAAGATGTTAATTGATAACCTGAAGTTGTGTGGATTACTAGTGTATTATTGTGAAGTTTTAGCTGTTTGAACTCGCATTCTTTATAGGAATAGTTCATTCAAAAATGAAAAATTCATTTTATTCCAAACCTGTATTATTATGTTTTTTTGTTGTTGTTGTGGAACACAAAAGAAGTTTAACAGAATGACCTGCTCTCTTCCATGCAAAGAAAGGGGTGTCAAACTCAAAAAGTGCTCCATATGACTCATGCTGTATATTTTCCTATATAAGTCCTCTGAAGCCATAGCTCTGTGTGAGAAATGGATTGGAATTTAAGTCACTGAAAATCTTGTATTGAAAGCATTGCTTGACAACCATCAAAACTCACTGTCATTGTATGGAAAACAGCTTGGGCTTTCTGCTAAAAATAACTTCTTTTGTGTAGAAAATCATACTAGTTTTGAAAGACATGAGGGTGAGTAAATGATAACAGAATCTGTATTTTTAGGTGAACTATTCCTTTTTTTGGAGAACTGGTAAACGCTATAAAAGATATGTTCAAATATTCTTATGGGTCAGTGATGAGTGCTAGGTCAAATTTAGGATGACAAGCTTTATGGTTTCTGATGCTCAGCGAAAAATCAGTTGGGAGAACAGAGTCCAATTGGTTCTGGAAAACTCAGACTGCAAAACCCTTTACAGCCGTTTTCCTGCCTCGCTGAAATCGCTCATTGCATTTCAAGTCACAGAAGCAGCTTTAGTTACTTACTGCTGCCACAATGACGCTCTATCAGCAATCCTCAGATTTCTAGGGTGTACTCAACCTTGACAGCTACCCAAATTTTAGCTGAATGGTTTGAAAACCAGTGCCAGATTTAATTAATGTATTAGTAGCTTGATTTTTCAGCTAAATATAGCTTGTAACACTTCAAAGAGAAAGGAAAACTTGAAATCGCATCATATGACCCCTTTTAAAGCATATTGTTTTAGCATTGTTTGCACTGAAAGTGTTTGTGGAACTGTTAGTGGTTATTAAGGGTGAGCAATTGTGTATTCACCAAATATCAATAACAAATTAATATTGTGAAGATAATGTATTTTGAGCAATTCATTAGGTCTCCTAAAGAAACTTAAAAAAATTCATTTCATGATTGCATGGTTCCTCTAATTAAAAATAAATCACCCATTAAAGCCACTTCATATACAGATTGAATTTAAACCCCATTTCCATATCTTCCATATCCATATCTTATTCGCATCCCAGTCCTGTCTTTCATTGTAAGACAGCAGTTACTTTTAAAGATTAAAATACTAACTCATCTGCTAATTGCGCTTCAGTTGCAGTGCAGAAATAAAATGTCAGTTAAAATATTAACAGATATTATCTTGCTTCCCTGTCAGAAGTGACTCTCACAGCTTACTTTGAGGCAGGCAGAAGGGTAGGCAGAAACAGAACGTACCGCTGTTCAAATGTGTCACGTCTAAGAAGATAAAACTTCACTTAACCAGAAAAACAGACACTTTAGTGTTCTGAACAAATCAGTTCATAATTCTGTCATCTTTCTGCATTTGAACTCGTTTCCCTTTTTCCCTCCCTGCAGGTGAATGGTGATGACAACTACCTGAATGCAGTGCAGAATACAGGTGAGTAAATATACGAGTCCTCTCTGTTTTAGATCCCATTTTCACCTGGTAAAGAAAACTGGTAAAGCTAAACCAGTTGGGGTTGCCAGTGGGGGGACTAGTTCACCACAGATGTACGGTCAGAGACATATATATAATTATTCACTGTATTTAGAAGTGCCCACGATAACAATATCGTGCATATTCATTACCGTGATATATCGCATTACCGAATACTGGCACAAGTCTATTTGACACACCCACCAAACAAGAGAAAACGCATCTCAAACCCCGTTGCACACCGTTGCACACCGTTTCCAGGAAACATGTCGTTCAAACCGGAAACCGTAGCAAAACGGTGCACACCGGTTTGAGCTTGAACTTGCCCCTGGTATTAACATTCATGTCTGAAGATCCTATACAGGATCCAAAACATTTTGTGATCACTCAAACCACATTCAAAGGTGGTCAAAAATGCATGGGACTCCACTGCATTTGTAGTGTAAATGCTAATCAATCCTGTTGAGTCTCGGATAACATTAAATAACTGGCTTCTTATCTGTCAACGACTGTGCTAAAATAAGTTTTACATTTTGTTTCTGACTTAACAGAGAATAATTGTTAAAAAATAGAAACACTTATGAATAAATTGTCTGGTGAATGCAGTGACAGATAATTTGCTTTGCATAAATGCATATGCTAAATGAATTCATGAATAAATGTAGATCATAAAGCATCTTAAGTTAATTTTGTACAAGCATAGTACAAAAATAACTCCGCATTTTGCTCAGAACGTCATTTGTGATAAGAATCAAATTCAGTGTTTGAGAATATATAGTGTACAAATGTTGCTGTGCTTTACCAGTATGAAACTCTAATGAAGGAAGTCATGAAATCAGACATCCTACATTCAAAACACACTATAAAAATTTAAATAAACCAAAGATTATTTGGAGTACTTTTTACAATAAAATCCACTGTTTGCCGTGAAATTTCCTAGCAATTTCTGGATGAAAATTGTTTCTACACCTACAGTATTTTTTCAGAGATGGTGTATGTAAACAATGATGTATAAATAGCAATGTGTATCATCTGGCAAACTGTGATTGGATCACCCCAAACAGATCTGTTAAATTGCTTGAGGAGCCATTTTGACATTTGATGTATTTTTTCCGAAAAATAATATTTTTTTGTTGAAGAGATTGCCTCAGCTGCCAAAGCTATGAACATGAGTTGCACCTTTTTAGTCGGTTCAGGTGTTATTAGGAAGAGAGACATTCTCTTTTTAGAGAACATTTATTGACAAAAATCTAAAGAGTCTGAAAAACATGAGTCATCAATATTTTGGTTGAATTTCCCAGAAAATAAAGATTATACATTTTAAAAGTGAATATCTACTAAAGGTCACTTTTATCATCTTTTAAGAGTACACTAGCATACACTGTAGAACAACGCAACAAAATGTTCATTTCATGCTCTATAAAGACAACATAGACTTTGTTCTTTGTATCTTTCATGCATTTACAGAGATGCATAAAAAAAAAGAAAAACAAATGCTTGTTTAGAGTTACATTCTAGTATATCTCATTCTGTCAATTCTGCCTGTGTTTGTAATGAGCCGATGAAGATGGATTTGCGATGGGTTGTCTTATATAAATAATTCATAAAATGGATATCGCCAATAAGGCTGGTTAATAAGGACATTCGGCCTGTGTTGGTGTCCCATCTTTCTGAACTCTGTCAGATTTTCTCCCTCATCTCATTCTCATATACTTCGACAGCGTGAAATTCCCCAGTACCAGTCCCAGAGTGCTAATGACTGTCAGCGCTTTGATGTCACTGCATCAAGACAGATAAACAGCCTGGCCTGGACCAACCAATCAGACGGCTTTATGGTGCCGGCAACGGAAAGGGCTTACATTGAGCGATTTGGTTTTCACTTCTCAATGAAAACATAAACTGTGCCAGAAGCATCCCTCATACATCAAAAGAAATGGGTCAGCTTATAATTTTATAGTTCCCTTGAAAGTTACGTGGTTAGGTTGCTACCTAGATCTATAGGAAACATGTCACAGTGGTGGTTGGAGATGCTTGGACCAAATAAAGAAAGTTATTTTGATATGAGTTATATCCTACGACACAACGTGCAACGATTGCATGCAGAGTCTTTGTTGTGCAACACGGAATGTCTGAAGCTTTGTACATGAAACAGTTGCCATAAGAGACCTAATTTCTGTTTTATTTTGCAAAAAAACCTGCCAATGCTAATGTGCATACCCTGATGCACTCATGTCGCTTCCTGTCACCCATTGGTGCCCCACCATGCATCTGCTCTCATAGTCGCTTAACATGCCAAAGCACGTTATGTGAACCGTATCAAATATTCATTGTGGTGGGGAAATGGATTATTTGGGGAGGGAGAATGAGCTCTCCTATGGCGCAGAGTTGAGAGCGTGTGCGTCCAAGTACACCATACGGATGCTTTGTGTAAATTACTTGATTTCTGGTGCCATTCGTTCTGCCAGTGTGCTTCCATTAGCTCGGAGCGGCACAGAGGGTGTCAGTGGCTGAAGGTGAATGAATCCCAGCCAGACAGCTCTAATACAATGCACTGTGTTATTTATTTTTCTTATTATTATTTTTAACGATTTTTTAGGCTTTTTTTTTAGCACCCACTCTTAACTGCATATTGTATAGAAGTTCTATCATATCTAAGCTGATCGTTTAGATTTGATTGCCTGTAGGCTTGATATTTGCTTTTAAAATTGTTTTTTGTTGTGCAACGAAATTGAAATTCTCTATGGATGGAAGACATGTTGGATGGCTCTCTTTGTGTTTCCCAAGATTTGATTGAATCACTTGTGTCCTTTATTTTTGATAGTTGACTCATAAGGTCATACTTTAAAGGGATAGTTCACCCAAAAATGAAAATTTGATGTTTATCTGCTTACCCCCAGGGCATCCAAGATGTAGGTGACTTTGTTTCTTCAGTAGAACACAAATGATGATTTTTAACTTTAATCGTTGCAGTCTATCAGTCGTATAATGCACGCACGGGGGTAAGCAGATAAACATAAAATTTTCATTTTTGGGTGAACTATCCCTTTAAATAATTCTTTTTAGAAACGAGCATCAAAACATCACAGAAAAGACTCTCTCAGCCTGTCTTCCTCTTCAGTGCAAATGTGCCAGTCTTTGCTTTCTCAAACAGCTTTGATGTTTCATCCCCCACCTTATGTTAGATCAGTGTGTTTTTGGTTTGGAAAGGAGAAGAATGTCAGTATAAGATGATCTCACAAGTGTTGATCTTTCAAGGAATGGCTATTTGTGAATGAGCTGGATGTGTTGCATTATCAGATCCATGGTAGAGCATGCATCCTACATGCATCTCTCTCTCTGATTCCCCATTGTTTCCCTTCCCCCAACCTTTTCCATGTTGTAGGAGTCATTAACACCTGGGGATCAGCCATTTTTCCTTGCATCGCAATGGAATGGGATCGAAATGTCTGAGCCTTTGCTGAGTAAGCAAATGGTGCTGGTCCTGATGCTCTGACTCCTCTGTTTTACACTCTTTTATTACCTGACCTTCCCTGTCATTCCTTTTAAAATTCTCTCTGCTTCTTTTTTATCACCAAATGAACTATTCCATCATGCAGAAGATATCTATCTCCTCTGTTCTCTTTTATGAAAGGATTTAAATGTCAGAAGAATATTTCAGTCCTAAAGGGATAGTTAATGCTATCATTATTTACTCATCCTTATATCGTTCCAAACCCGTAATGTTGTTTCTTTCTGTGGAAGAATTGTTTTTTAAAGAATCATAATGGAGATTTCCATATAATGCCAGTTTATCATGACCAGGGGTTGTAAAATTCTAAAAAGAACAAAAAGCATGATAAATGCACCATATATTCTAAAAACCGTATAAAATATGGCACCTATTGTGCAGGCTGGATGTCAATAACATCAAATGTCAATGATCATTGAGTGTTTCTTAATGTCATGACATCAAAACTGCACCATAACCAACAAAAGCTGCAATATAGATGAAGACGATTGTCATGTTTATAATAAATAAAAACTTTCATAGATTACATTTATGGTCTAATTTCTATTTACTAGATAAAGTAGATAAACTAGATCAAAGAATCTTGGAAGAAATGTATTACAATTTCCACAAAAATATTAAACAGCTGTTTTCAGCATTGATAATAATTAGAAATGTGTCTTGAGCACCAGTTCAGCATATTACAATGATTTCTGAAGAATCATGTTTTTTATTTTATTTATCCTTTATTTTACCAGGAGAGTCCCATTGAGATGCAAATGCATGTGACATGTGAAATGCATGAGGATGCATGTGACAATGAAGACTGGAGTAATGGATGCTAAAAATTTAACTTTGCCATCACAGGAAGAAATTATATTTTAAAATATTAAAATAGACAGCCGGTATTGTAAATTGTAATGTTGTTTCACATTATTACTGTATTCTTCATCAAATGCTCGCAGCATTGGTGAGCATAAGAGAATTCTTTCAAAAACATTACAAATCTTACCAACCCCAATGTTTTTTTTTTGAATAAATTCTTTATTAGAGTTATGCTTAAAACAAGATTGCCAATGGGTTAAGAAAAATAACCTTAATTAAAGAAATATTCTCTGAAAACCAACCTAATTATCTGACACAATTTTGCTTCAAGTAAATTAATCTTGTTTAAAAGGATGTTTCAATACTTTACTGTAAAACGAGACAAAATACTAATTAAAATGAAAATGAATGTAAAAAATCAAATGCTTTTTATTCTGTGTCACTCTCTACGGGTGAAATATTTTTCAGTTTGTTCCAAACACTTTATCGACAGCATTATGGCGTTTCCTGCCCACACATCTTTATGCATCCAATTAAGCAGAAACGCAGAGAACGATTTCCCTGAGGTTGGCACAACTCTTTCTGAGAGCGCTCTCCGTCATCCTGTTTTAATATGTCTAATTCAGCTCTGCCCTGATTGCAGTGGGTCTGTCTGAGCTTGCAGATGGAGACATTAATCTACTGCTGCTCTTACACACACTCACTCACACGCGCACACACTGTTCCTTGGTAATATATGTTTTTCTGATATCACTTGAATGCAGACAGCCTGGCTCAGAAAGTGCAGTCGTATGAGTATGCAGACAACGAAAAACTGCAGACGTGCCAGTCATGACTGTGATTAACAGCCTGTTCTTTTTACTGTCAGTGATGTGTTTTCAAAGGCAAATGGAAGGTGGAAGACCCTTCATATCTACAGGGCTTTCTGGTGACAGGCTGGGAATGACATTCTGCTGAGTCATGTAGTGCTGGATTCTGGGACTTAAAGAATTGTGGGGATTATGAGAAGCAAAAGATCACAGTCTCTCCATCCTTCCCTGACTGTCTTTGGGTCCAACTCACAACAAAGTTCCTCAAAAATTGCAGACAAACATGGAAAATCTGCTGACATCTCTCAGAGGCTTTTTTGTGCAATGTCTGCAGCATTTCACAGTCCATATGGACCTCACCATCTAAACTCTCCATGAGTGCTTCCCATAGTTCTGCTCTCTTCCCCGCCATGTGTTCAGTCTTCCGGCGAGAGATGCATCAGCACAGTACTAAACTCAAACGCTCAAGCCCCTCTTAGCAAAGTAAAGTTTCCCTGAGGTTGGCACAACTCTTTCTGAGAGCGCTCTCCGTCATCCTGTTTTAATATGTCTAATTCAGCTCTGCCCTGATTGCAGTGGGTCTGTCTGAGCTTGCAGATGGAGACATTAATCTACTGCTGCTCTTACACACACTCACTCACACGCGCACACACTGTTCCTTGGTAATATATGTTTTTCTGATATCACTTGAATGCAGACAGCCTGGCTCAGAAAGTGCAGTCGTATGAGTATGCAGACAACGAAAAACTGCAGACGTGCCAGTCATGACTGTGATTAACAGCCTGTTCTTTTTACTGTCAGTGATGTGTTTTCAAAGGCAAATGGAAGGTGGAAGACCCTTCATATCTACGGGGCTTTCTGGTGACAGGCTGGGAATGACATTCTGCTGAGTCATGTAGTGCTGGATTCTGGGACTTAAAGAATTGTGGGGATTATGAGAAGCAAAAGATCACAGTCTCTCCATCCTTCCCTGACTGTCTTTGGGTCCAACTCACAACAAAGTTCCTCAAAAATTGCAGACAAACATGGAAAATCTGCTGACATCTCTCAGAGGCTTTTTTGTGCAATGTCTGCAGCATTTCACAGTCCATATGGACCTCACCATCTAAACTCTCCATGAGTGCTTCCCATAGTTCTGCTCTCTTCCCCACCATGTGTTCAGTCTTCCGGCGAGAGATGCATCAGCACAGTACTAAACTCAAACGCTCAAGCCCCCCTTAGCAAAGTAAAGTTGTTCAAACTGTTCAAAAGTTTAGAACAGCGCCACTAATAATCTTTCCGACACATTATCTAGCCATTCACAGCGTGTATGATGTTGTTATGGGAGAAATGCAATTTGATCCTGATTTTCACAGTGCTACAACCCCAAAATTGAGTTAACATAATCGAGTTTGAATTCTGGAAGACCAGCTCTGATTTTACATCCAGCTACTGTATGTATGATCCAGGCACAATCGTGTGAGGACTTCTGTTTACTTTTTTCCTTATGTGCTTAAATATCATCTTAGTGATTTTTCTTTTTCACTGCTGCATTTAGCTGCTCACTGGGGTTTGTAATAAACCCTTCTTTGAAAAGCTTCTTTGGAACATTATGCATTGTGAAAATAATAGCTGTATAAAAATGAATTTTATTTATTTATTTATTTATTTTTTGCATGGTTGAGTAGCCCTGCCCACAGTGAAATCTCATTGTTTAAAAAATCCTGGTCTATATTAAACATCAAATATACTCAATTTGGTTGTGATTGTGCCATGCCACACATATTTTTTTCTTTCAGTTTGGACAGACAAATTACTTGTCACTGGAAGCTTGTCAGTTCGTACCTGCTGGGACTTGTTGTAAGTGACAGTATAATTGCTAGCCATAGCAGATGTCTATCTGTGAATAAAGCCTTGTGATAATTTTAACTTTTGGGTTAAAAATTTTATGTAAAAATGTAACCCAACAGCTAGGTTAGTCCATATTTGACACAACGTTGGGTTGAAACAACCCAGCATTTTTTAGAGAGTAACGTGGAATGGATTATTTATTTTATTATTTCAGAATGTTTTCTGAACATTCAAAGGTTGTCCAGTATTTTTTAAATGCATTTCTTCTTGGTGAAGCGAACGTTAGAGAATACATTAAGGGAATTTTCCATTTTAGCATTTTGCAAACATGGGAACCATTATGGGAGCCTTGTCTAATCCCTCGTCCTTTATGCTGGAAAAGGAGGCTGAAATAGGGATCCAGATGTCCACTTTCTCTCTCTTTTAACTCTCCTGCCCAGGGCAGTCAGGAATCAGTGCTCATGGCTTTGGAGGAGATGTAGAGGCCAAGTTGGGTGTTCCGGAGAGATAAACAAAAGGGCCGCAGTTAGATACAAGATGCTGGCAGAAAAGCCATATTGACAGATTGGCAATTTATACAACAGGGATTATTATTTTGGACTTTAACGACAAAAGGGGATTTTAGGGAGGATTTTGGTAGATAGTGAGTGCTCTTGGAACTAAACCTAAACTTTTTTATTTTTTTTGCATGCAGACTAACAGTTACTTCTTCAAATGTCACAAAACTCGCAAAATAAATCACAGACAGAGAGCTTTTCAGATTGACATCTTTTTTTTTTTCTGGCAGTACTGTATGTTTTGTTGCTATGGCTTTGTTCAGGCAGACAGGAAACAGGTTTTTTTGTGTTTTTTTTTTGTCTGACCAGGAAAAGCACATGAAATACAATTAAGTTATAGGGTTTAAAATCTGATTAAAATTATTTTTTTTATGTCTCAGTTTTTCAAGTCAGAATGTCAAGTTCACTATTGTTTGAGATTTACAGAGATGCTCATTTTCCTCACTCCATCCTAAAATAGGCACAAAATAATTAATGTTTAATATTAATAATATTATAATATTTTATCCCTATAAATATTCCTAGAATATGTAACATTCACTTTATTTTGAGTAGTGAATGAGTGGAATCAGTGGTTTTGAATACATTTCGTTGTAAATGAATCAAATTGTCACTCATGTTCTCTTTTGCACCTCATGTGCTCATGTGTACTCTTCTCTAGTTCAGCATCACAGCAAGATGTCATGATGGACATAAGCAGAGACTAAATGTTCTCTTTTCTGTCATTTTTTTTTCCCACACTGACTGCTACTTTTTGGTTGTTGAATGAGAAATTCTCTTGGCATCATGCTGACTCTCATATTATGTAGATATTGACTACTGTCTGAATAAATGAATCAGACATCATCACTTGCAAAATGCCAGTGTGAACTCAACAGACAGCCTTAAAGATGGGATTTAAAAACTAAATCGGATTTATGCACAGTATAAAATCCTTTTTCTCTTTTTTCCCCCCTCAGTTCCTCTATCCTGCTCCGAGGGCTTCACTGAGCTGGGTTATTACAATGGCACCGTTTCTCAGACCGACTCAGGTTCACCCTGTCTAAAGTGGACCGAATTCCCAGATTACGTGCAGCAGTATCCAGGCAGGGGTCTTGGAGAGCACAATTTTTGTCGAAATCCTGACCGTGAGTCCAACCCATGGTGCTTTTTCAGACAGAGCTCAGGGGCCATTGGCTGGGCCTACTGCGACTGCCACCAAGGTGAGTACTACAGTGTTTCATTAAAAGTCTGCTATGTTCCACTAGTGAGGTAATTCAAAGAGTATTGTTGATATATTTGTAATATCATTGTTTTATAATATTCCTTAAGGCGGCGTCCCACTTGCCAAGTCAAAACAGCCTTTATTTTATTTTATAATTTTTTTTCAAAAATCTCACCCTTTTCTGTCCGAGATCCATCACAATCACTGATAATCTGTGGTATGAAGAGCAATCTACAGATTGTTTTGGCAAATCAATGTGAAACTCGCCAAAATAACAACAGAAGTAACAGCATTTCACTTCTACCGCGTGAATCCCTTCAGATTTTGCTGTGGAATATTCATGCACAGCTTCAATGAAAAAAAAGTACATTCAATAAACAACCCTCAATGTTTTATTTTATTCATTTTAGTGTCTGCGAATTCTAGAAAAACACAATCAGTGTTTGCAATATGCGGCTTTGCGTCTGCTGAGAAAAAAGTTTGGGTCAGATCCATTAACTCATCAGGGAGTTGAGCCTCTGGGGCTGTTAACGCTTCCCGCAGAGAGAAACACAGGCGCTTATGACTGAAAATCAGCTAGTGGGACGACAGCCTTAGATGTTAGAATATTCTAACATTCTTCAGATGATAAATATGTGCTTTAATACCTCTTTGTGTACTGTTGTCCTACTTTCTTTTCCGTCTCTTGGAAGAATGTTGTTTTGCATCAACTTTATATCTAGAAATCAATGGTTGACATTCTTGTGAAGAATATTCTGTATATATCTCAGAAAAATTAGAAAAGGTTTATTCGTAAAGAAAGAAGAAGCTTGTATAAAAAGCATCTTTGCTTGCAGTAAAGACAAAGGGTGACTGTGACTTTGCTAAGTAGGACATGCTCCTGGATCAACATTCTGTTCCTGTTATCAACCAATCGCATATTACTGTTAGGTTTAGGGCTGGGATTAGAGGCATGAATAAGTTGATAAGAACAAAGTTTTTGATCATAATTTGCCTCTGATTTTAGGAGCTTATGCCAATTATCTGAAAAAAACGAATCGGACCACTAATAAACTATATGGTACATCTCTGTAAAGAAGCTGTACTGTTAAAGGGATACTCCACCCCAAAATGAGAATTTTGTCATTATTCACTTACCCCCATGTCGTTCCAAACCTGTAAAAGGGTCTCCTATGTGTCTCTCCGCATCACCGTAGCGCCATTTTGGAGAATATCCACTGACCGCAAGCAGCGTACGCTCTTCTGTGTCAGCCGCGCCACAATCTCACAAATCTCATAAATAAGAAAAAACTGGCCTTGTCTTTTCAGTAAGATTTTATAATTTACTGTTAATTCTTTTTTTTTTTTTTTTCATTTTACTGTTAATAAAAATTTGTGAGGAGATAAGAATGCTGGTTGTAAATAAGTTTATTTAGGGGTTTTCTTGGATGTGGTCTTTTGGGCGAGTGCTGTAAGCAACCACCCTGAACTCCCTAGAAATTACATATCAGTAAGCTAAAAAGAATAACTGAGAACAACAGCTTAATATAATAATAATAATAATAATAATAATAATAATAATATGTATTTATCTCTCACTTGTTCAGGAGCAGTAAGGTTAGCAGGAGGTTCATCCTCAAAGAGTGGCCGACTGGAGGTCTATCTGAATGGCCAGTGGGGGTCGGTTTGTGACACACACTGGACAGATCGTGATGCCAGTGTGGTTTGCCGACAGCTTGGACTGAGGTATGGTTATTTCTAATTAGGGCTGTCAATTTAACATATTAATTTAGTACAATTAATTAAAGAGAATGTGAATAATGATGCTTCGACTGAAACACAAGGTGATGTTTGAATTATGTTTTTATTTGCAATTCATTTGAATAATTAGTAATGTAATTAATTTGATAACATTCAACCTTACTTTATTTGACAATCTGTGAGTATCAGATCTGATTTTCCACATATTTATGGATCTGTGCCTCTCCGTGTGGTCAAAGCAGGGTTACTCATTTGTAAATTTAAGTGATTCATTAAAATTCACAGTGTCTTAATCTTTACTATATCTATTTTTGATTTAGCCTTTGTTAAATCATCTAAAAGTGGGTGGAAAGCCTGACGTCACTGAACAGCGGATTAGATAGCTTCTTAATATTTCTTTCCGTTTGTTGTAGTGAGATTGGCACGGCTCTCCAGCACTCATATTTTGGCCCCGGCTCCGGGCTTTTTCACTACGCCCGCCTTGGCTGCCGTGGTGATGAGAAATCCCTGCTGGATTGCAGAAGCAGGAAGTTTGTTACGAGTGACTGTAACCATGGAAACGAGGCCGGAGTGGTGTGTGCACCACCTGAAGGTCAGTGTGCTTTCTGTGAGAGTGAAGCTAATGACCTTTTAAGTGACAAGTGAAATAAACACTCCTGCATCTAGATGCCCTCGCAAAACCATAGAGCTGCCGTGAAACAGAAAAAGTGCTTTTAAATAGCATACAAAGATCATCAGGGTTATTTAAAGTCTGGTTTCGAGAATTCAGTTTCCGCCTCTGTGTCTGCATCCTAAGTGAACGACGCAATACGCAACTAAGATTGCTCCCATTATAATCAACAAAGCTGTCTACAAGTGCTTATAATGTGAGCGTTTTGTTTTTTTCATGATGTGTCGTGCTGCACCTCGTTGCTTGCTTGCAGTGCAGACTGGGTGTAAAATCTGCTAATTAAATTACATTCAGTGTCAGTTTTAGCTGTTCATTTACTCTTTTTTTTATAATCTTGACGTAAAGCATTACAGTATCAAAATAATGTCATCATTGATTGATAAAATTCTATAAACAAATCCCCTTAATGCTTTATTATGCTTTCAGCTGCTGATAAGAGTAGACTATTCTCAGCTCTATTCAAATGACTATTCAAGTGGACTATTCAAATGAATTACATAGATTTTTACAGTGGACCAGTAGTGCACAACACAACGAAATCTGCACAAGACAATGCAAACAAGCCGCAACACAACAAAATCTCCACAACACAACGGAAACAAGCCACAACACGAAATTAGCACAACACAACAGAAACAAGCTGCAACACAACAAAATTAGCTCAACACAAAGGAACCAAGTCGCAACACAACAAAATTAGCATAACACAAAGGAACCAAGCTGCAACACAACAAAATTAGCAAAATACAAAGGAACCAAGCCGCGCAACACAACAAAATTAGCACAACACACTGGAAACAAGCCTCAACACAATGAAATTAGCACAACACACTGGAAACAAGCCGCAAAACAACATGAGCACAACACAAAGGAACCAAGCCGCAACACAACAAAATTAGCACAACACAGCGAAATTACTGGGCCACCGTAGATTTTGCCCTAAAAACAGCACTGAAGATCTAAAAAAGTGTCTGGATCTGCTCATGACTTGTGACACTATGATTTTTCTTGAATGCTGTGATATAAATATGAAAAATATGATTAGACATTGCTGTAATTGTCGGTTTCTGCACATTTTACTCTAAAGCCGTTTGAAAAATAATCTTTATTATTTATTCCCTGGTCACCCTGCATTTTCTAAAAGTGGCCCTCGGGCGACATCATTTGAGTATGTCTGATCTACATGAATACTAAGACAGAAAACCGCAGGGTGTGTGATGGAACATCATGAGGATGATTATGTTATCTTTGAATTGCCGTTATTGCTGCTTCTTTATCCATTCATATTGACTTATTAAATTGGTGCTTACTGAGATTAGACATTTTATTTTTAATGAAACATTTCAGTGGGGGTTTATACTTTCTTTGGTGGAATCAAAGGAGCCATACTTTCTTTTGTAGAAAGGAACAAAAGGGGGAAAACACGAGAAAAGAGGTTGGAAAGCAAATCAATGGCGTCTGAACTCATGATTGCCTGCTGAGAGCTTTATTGAAGACACAATCTGAGGACACACGGACAGATGTGCACTGTGCTGGGTTACCAAGACAGCAAATGATGTATAATAGTCCTTGAACTAAAAAAATGGCTGCATATAATGTGTTCCTGATATGAATTATTATTATCATATATGAAATATTACCAGCAACTGTGCATATATCTGATTGTAGTGGGTGGTTTTGTTTCAGGTTTTGCTTCAGTTGAGGAGCCAACACATTACCAATTGTTCATTGTACATAATTATGATGATACAATTATAGAACTGCATTGCAATTGAATATATTTGATTAAAAATACAGTAAAAACAATAATACTGTGAAAAAATATTATTAAAATGACTATTTTATATTTTAATATACTTTAAAAAGTAATTTATTCCTGTGATGCAAAAGCTGAATTCTTAGCATATAAAATCTGCATATATATATAATAGGCCTACTGGTTAATGGATAAATCTGCATATATATATATATATATATGCAGATTTATCCATTAAACAGTACGCCTATTTAATGTAGCCTGGGTTGTATTTTTCTTTACTTTTATTTTTATTACCTAAAAGTTCAGATTTTATTTTGTTACCCTAACTATGCATAATCATATGGTTAATTGTATTTGCATTGCATTGCAATGGCTCTATTAGAGAAGACCTGCAACCCACTAGTTAAGAACCGTTGGATTATTTCACAGAGAGAGAGAGTAATGCAGGCAGAGCATTTTGGTTGTCACTACATTTATTGATGTGTTTGTGGCTTTGGGTCATGATTCCTGGTTTGCCTGCTCAGGTAATGGACCGCCGCTGCGGTTGGTTGGTGGGGAGGAGGACTTTGAGGGACGAGTTGAGGTCTTCCATGATGGGCACTGGGGGACCATTTGCGATGATCAGTGGGATGACATGGATGCTGAGGTGGTCTGCAGGCAGCTCGGACTGGGGTGAGTCCATTCTAGAACTAATACATCAAATACTCGTCATACACACCCTGTCATAAATATACAGTGGATGGTTTCAGAGTAATACATCATACTTTTAACTCCTACCTTTTCTAAAATGCCTTTTGCAAATATCTTGGCAAGGTTTTAAAGAATCAGTAGCACATGTTGTCTTTTGTGAGGTATTTTCATTCCTGAGTGCTCTTATCTCGATGAGAGGAAGATTGAATTATTTATTTTGCGCTGTTGTATTTTTTGCTCTCATACACCATCTCCATCATGTTGTTGTAGCAGTCGTAGAGAATAAAGACTGTGAGATGGCACATCAGCGCAGCCTCACGCCGCTGCTGCAGAGATGATATGCACGACTTCAGTTACTGCAGCATTAAAGCAACTGAATGATGTGTTTGTCGGTTATAGTTAGAACATGTTAGCTTTCAAATGAATCTGTAGTAAGAAGCATTTTAATGGTCTGTGTGTGCCTTTTTGTGTGATACTGTACTCATTGCTTCTCAGGGCCTCTTGAATTCCCACTGAATATAAGTAGGGTTAAGGCTGGTCAGCACCTGGATGGGAGACCACCTGGGAAGTTTA